CACTGTACTTTAAATTATCTCTAGATTACTTACAATATTTAAACGAATACAAGTGTTATGTAAATATGTTATATTTTGTTGCTCAAGGAATAATTTAATTGATCAATTTTAATTCTTTAAATTTGAGGTTGGTTGTATCCAAGAATGTGCAGTGCTCACACAATATGCCAATTATAAGGTAGCTGGAGAAAAAGATTTCAAAAACTCATTACAACTGCCCTCTCAGACTTGGAAAGTGATTTATCACTGCAAGGTCTTCAGTAATACCTGGCAAATACAACCAACTGTTATTCCATAGAATTTTATGAAAAAGAAAATGAAAACAATGTCCAAGTCCCAATGATATAATTAAAAACACTAAAGTATTTATTCAGAGTATAATAGAATGTATGGTCATTTCACCGAACAAGTGAGCTATTTTATTAATATAGCCAGCTTGAAATTTTAGTTACACATCATCTAAAACTGATAATGAAATGCTATCAGCAACTTATATAATGTCGACTTGCGCTCTGTATGGTTTCTGAAAGACACCCACATGAACGTCCTTCAGATGACACACAGTGGTTCTTGAGAAAATATTTTAGATTTTGACAGGCACTCCAGCAACTATGCAAGAGACACTTGGTTTCTGGCTTCTGCTAGATGACATCTTATTTAGCTTGTGACCACATACTACACTTTTATAGACTTCCTCCCAGCTCTGTCATGAGCATTGTAAAGAATATTAATAAATGCCTAATTATCTTCTTACCAAGGTTTGTGCAGAAAAGTCCTTCCTGTGATCTCAAATATTTTGCTCCTTAATTAAGTTCCCAAAATTATTTCATTACATTACCTTTCTCTGGACTCTTTTGAGGGACCTGTTCTGGGCAGTTGATTGTAGATCTGAAGAGGAATTTCAAGTTGGTCTCCTGATTGTTCTGGAACTGCAGCTAGAGAAGTCTCCCAGTGTCTTTTATAGCAGCAGAGTAATACAAATTGCATGTTCCCACCTGCACCTAAGCCCTGGGATCAACTGTAAATTCTACCCAATGATTGGATGGTACTTGGCATAATTACTATGACATCAATTTGATCTTATCATGCTGTAACCCTCAGATCATTTTTGTTTTTAGCCATTTTCAGGTAGTGATGACCTCAAGGACAGCTTATGAAAAAAGAGCATTAGGTCATTTTCTGCGTAATTTTATTGAGACTTACATAAAACATCCTGAAAGCTGACACTTTTTAAATAAACAAGACTCTAAGAGTAGCACTTTTAATTAGCTAAGTACCTGATATTTTCATAAAACGGGAGAGAAGCATTTCCCGGATTATATTTCAGGAAACAGAAAAATAAAATAATTGCTTCCATTTTTTAAATTAACAGGCACCTGGATTTAATAAAGATATCTGGGAAAGTATGAGGTAATCCTGCGGAAGACTGACTAGCACTCTGTATACATGTGTGTGTGTGGGGGGGGTGCTCTATACAGTCCCACACAGCAGCCCAAGAATTACTAAAAACAGACCAAAACAAAGAAAAGCCTTTTATCAGGGGGATAGGAAGAACATTTAGTTAAGAGCATGCCCCACTCTTCCAGAGGGCATCATTTCATGCCAGGTCAAAAGACTCACAGGTAACTTCAGCTCCATGAGGAACTAATATCTGTGGCCTCCACAGGCATCCGCACTCCATGTCTGTGTACCCACAGACATACACATACATTAAAAATAAACAAAAAATTTAAAGCTTGTGAAAAATTTTAAATGAACCATGATTCTTTTCTCTTTTAAAAAAATATTTCTCTTAGGAATCTTAGAACTTATTTTTTAAATTTGTTTTCTGTATTAACATCCACCTACGGGGTGTGTGTGTGTGTGTGTGTGTGTGTGTGTGTGTGTGTGTGTGTAACGCACAAGTTGCACTGTGCATGTGTGGAGATCAGGGACTAACTTTGTGAAGTTGGCTTGTTCCTTCCACGGTATGTGGGTTCTGTGAGTTTGGGGCATCGAGCTCAGGTTGTCAATCTGGTGCGGCATGTACTTTAAACCAGTCCAAGGCTGTGGTTCTTGGTGACATTACAGTAAAGAATTTCACACAAAGTCAGTAGTCAGTATAATGCAAAGACAATTTATTAAGAAAGGATCCCATTTACAGTGAGTGGGCCTTCCCACCTCAGTTAATGAAATCAAGGCAATTTCCTAGCGCATGCTAACAGGCCCATTTCCAGGTGATTCTGGAGTCTATCAAGTTGACAACACTGACCATCACAATACCCAGCCCTAGGTGTTACTACAGATTTGAACATGGATAGTAAGAGAGAGAAAGACAGATACATACAAGGACACCCATGTGTTCCCTAGAATTGGCAAGGGCCTCTCAAGAGAAAAACACTATACTCTTTGTCATTGTGACTCTTTTGTGTTTTGTAACCAGAGTAGCCTCAAGATCCAGGCAACCCTACTGCTGTTTCTGCTCCTGGGTGCTGAGATTACAGCCCTAAGCCACCAAGCCCAGGCTGAGAGTCACATTTAAGTGTATTAACAAGAGCTGTATAATGATTTTGGTGATTTTTGAAGTTATGTTCTTCAAAGGATCTAAAACATTAGAGTCAACGGTACTAGTTATAACCCCCACATTTGGGAGGGGGAGGCAGGATAATTAGAAGGTTATTCTTGACTATCTAGCAAGTTCAAGGCTGACCCGGATGACTAGCAAGACCTGACACAACAGTCAAACAGCAGCAGCAGACTTCCTGGTCCCTGGTCCCTTTCTGTCCTCTCTTCTGCCATGTTCCTGAGCCTTTGGCTTGGCAAGGAAATCGTGTTATAGATGTATCCGTTGAGATTGTTTACCCCATGGTCATCCTTGATGACCAGTTATAAGATTGCTGAGAAAAGGAGCAATAGCTTCTCCCAGGGATGAGCTCTTTAACTGGTTTTCCAAGACCAAGTGGTCAGCCCTGAAGTTACACACACACACACACACACACACACACACACACACACACACAAAGGGAATCAACAGGATGCATTTATATACTTATGCATATATATGCAGCAATAATAATTTTAAAGCAGACATCAATTTGAGAAGGAATGAAGGAAGGAACATGGGAGGAACTGGAAAAAGGGACATGGGAGTGGTTGGACGGAGGAAAGGGGAAGGGGAGTGATGTAATTATGTTTTATTTATTTATTTATTTTTGGTTTTTCAAGACAGGGTTTCTCTGTATTGTTTTGGAGGCTGTCCTGGAACTCTCTCTGTAGACCAGGCTGGCCTCGAACTCACAGAGATCCACCTGCCTCTGCCTCCCGAGTGCTGGGATTAAAGGCGTGCGCCACCAACGCCCGGCTGTAATTATGTTTTAATTAAAGTAAATACATAAGAATAAAAATCACAAAACTGTCAAACAACAACAAAAATAAATAAATTTGATTCTGTTTCTGTGACAAAACACTCTAACCAAAAGAAAGTTGGGGAGGAAAGGGCTTATTGGGTTTATACTTCCAGGTTTTAGTTCATCATCAAGGAAAGTCAGGGCAAAAACTCTAACAGGAAATTGAAGCAGAAACCAACGAGGAATACTGTTCACTGGTGGCTCAAGGGGCCAGAAAACATTTTCAACTAAATCATAAAGTAAAATTACCGTAACATAAAGAAGGAGATGCCTATAAAGGTACACGAGGTTTACAAAACATCAAATAGATTGGACCAGAACAGAAAATCCCCATGCCACATAATAATCAAAACACTAAGCATCCAAATAAAAAAGAATATTAAAAGCTGCAAGGGGAAAAGGCCAAGTAACATATAAATGTGTAGCATGAATAGTCAAAACCCAGAGGCAGACTTTGGGGTTCAAGCTGAAGATCAGAAAAGTAAAACAGCCAAGCCACAAGAGAGTTCTTACCTTTACCAAGGCTCAAAAAGGGTGCTCCTGTTCTCAGCGTGACTGCAGACTGAATACACTGCACTCCTGTCTCCACCCGCCTTACATCCCTCTCTAGTGCTGGGATTAAAGGAGTGCACCACCACCACCCAGCCTCTGTGGGTAACTAGTGTCACTGCTAGGATTAAAGGCATGTGCCACTACTGCCTGGCCTGTATGGCTGGCTGCCTAGTGTAGCTTTCTTTGCCCTCTGATCTTCAGGAAAGCGGTATTTGTTAGATCATAAAGAAAATATCACCACATAAAGGCAGACCTATTAGAAATGTGCCAGTGGAGACTCTAAAAGCCAGAAGGGCCTGAACAGATGTCCTGCAGACTCTAAGAGACTACAGATGCCAGCCCAGACTATTGTACCAAGCAAAATTTTTTAATCACAATAAATGGACAAAACAAGATATTCCATGACAAAGTCAGTCCACAAACCCAGCCCTACAGATAATACTAGAAGAAAACCTCCAAACAAGGAGACTAACCACACCCAAGAAAACAGAAGCAATAAGTAATCTCACACCACTAAAACCAAAAGAAGGCACACACACACACACACACACACACACACACACACACCTCCACCACCACCACCACCACCACCAACAACAACAGCATAACAGGAATTAACAATCACTGGTTGTCACATGGTGGTGGTACATGCCTTTAATACCAGCATTTGTGAGTTTGAGGCCAGCCTGGTCTACAGAGAAAGCTCCAGGACAGCCAGGGTTACACAGAGAAACCCTGTCTTGGACAAACAACAACAGCAACAGCAAACCATTGGTCATGGCCATCTCTCAATATCAATAGATCCAATTCCTCAATAAAAAAGACGCAGACTAGCAATAGATGTGAAGCATGATCCATCCTTCTGATGTATGCCAGCAACACACCTCAAAAAAGGCAGACAGTACCTCAGAGTAAGGGGTTGGAAAAAGATTGTCCAAGCAAATGAAGCTAAGAAGCAATCTGATACAGCTAGTCATTCTAGTATCTAACAACACAGACTTTAAGCCAAAATTAATGAAGAGATGGACACTTCATACTCATCAAAGGAAAAACTCACCAAGATGATGCTTCAATTATTTTTTAATTTCTATGCTTTACACATTACTGTTGTGCCCAAGTCACAAGGATCCCCAAAGAGACCAGAGAGACAGACCACCGATGCAAATTCACAAGGTTTGTTGATTATTCTATCCTTGCATGGGAAGAACCCCGTCTAGCAAGCTGATGCAGCAGCATCCAAAGGGGGTGAAGGTCCCTGTGTACTGCTAGGTTTTAAAGACAAAAGTCACAGGATTGCATCTGTAGGCACAGGTTGGTTTCTGATTGGTTGACTTTTGGGGAACAATCAAGAGATTTTTCAAAGTCATGTTCTTGGCGTGTAATACCTGTGTACCCATTTTTCTCATAGGCTGGTATTGGGAGGGAACATTCTGTGGTTTCTATGGCTTGCAGGTGGTCTATTATACTAATATCTTTCAGAATTGAATTTTCTGGAGACTACAGGGGAGTTTTTTTTAAGGTTTATTATGGATACAGTGTTCTGCCTGCATGTACACCAGAAGAGGGCACCAGATCTCATTACAGATGGTTGTGAGCCACCATGTGGTTGCTGGGAATTGAACTCAGAACCTCTGAGTGAGTAGTCAGTGTTCTTAACCTCTGAGCCATCTCTCCAGCCCCCAACAGGGGAGTTTCTTTTGTGGTCAAACAGTCCCTACGATCCAGGAGGCTAGGGGGGTTTGGAGTTCCTTTGTGTTCAGTTTTGGTCCTAGGCCTGTTGCATACAACATAGTCTCTAGGAGTGAAGGCTGGGGGAAGGGTTGTTCTGGAGTTTTGGCTCTTCAATTACATCCCAACTGCAGTTTCTCATAGCTCCACTCCTCCCAGCCCACCACTTTTACCTCTCCCCCAGATCTCCTCCTCCTCCATTTCTCTTTTTAAAAAAAAGGGGGGGGGGAGGCGTAGGCCTCTCAGGGATATAAAACAAACATGGCACAAAAAATTACAGTAAGGCTAGACACAAACCCTTATATCAAGGCTAGAAGAGGCAATCTAAGTAAGAGGACAAGGGTCTCAAGCACAGGCAAAAGTGTCAGAGACAGCCCCCCACCTCACTTCCACTGTTAGGAGTCCCAGAAGAACACCAAGCTATACGACCACACATGCAGAGGACCTAGCTCAGACACACACAGGCTCTGTGATTGTCACTTCAGTCTCTGTGAGCCCCTATGAGCTCTGCTCAGTTGATTCTGTGGACCATCTCTCTTGGTGTCCTTGACCCCCACATCTCCCCGGCTCCTACAATCCTTCCTCCCCTTCTTATGGGGGTTCCCCTGGCTTTGCCTAGTGTTTTGGCTATGGCTCCCTGCATCTGGCTTTGCCTAGTGTTTTGGCTATGGCTCTCTGCATCTGGTTTTGTCTAGTGTTTTGTCTATGGCTCTCTGCCTCTTCTTCAGTCTCACTGCTGGGACCCTTACCTCGTTATAGAAAATGACTGGTTCCAGCTCTGTATGCCCCCCCATTACTAGGAGAGTTTATTAGGGTCTCTTATAGATTCCAGGGAGTTTCCACTAAGTGTTTCCATTCTTAACATCTATTCCCCAAACACCTTGCCTTTCTGTGAGCCTTACTTTCCTGATGTCTCTGTGTCTGACTAGTTGGCTTCTGGCCCTGGTGTCTCCTTTGTTCTCCATAGCCTAGATTTCTCCTCCTGTTTATTCCCTCTGCCCCCCCAGTCCCACCTATCATTTCCCTGCCTACCTATCGGATGTTTAGTTTTTTATTAGACAGATCAAGTGCCTTAGGCAGGCAAGGCGAAACAGCAACACATCTTTTCATAATTAAACAAATGCAGCAGAAACAAATGTAACACAGCCTCACATAGACAAATGCAGAAGAAACAAATGTAACACACCTATGCTCAGCTAAATAGTCCACAGCATAAACAAATGTAACACATCTTTACATACTTAAATATCCCATAAAATATCAGGGGTTTGTGCCTAGTCTTATTGTAACTTGTTGTGCTGTTTTGGTTGATATCCCTGGGAGGCCTACTTTCTTGTGAATGGAAACCAAGGTGTGGACATTGGAGAGAAGGGGGGTTGATGAGAGGAATTCAGAGGAGAGGAAGAAGGGGAAAGTGCTGTTGGGATATAATGTGTGAAAGAAGAATAAATTAACCCCTCCCCTAAAACATAAGTTTGAGGTTGCAAAGAAAGTGACCACCATTCCAACTGAAGTGTCTGGACAAGGCAAACTTTACTTGTGAAGAGCAAATACTCTGAAACAGGAACTGCACTTGTTTTTATTCTAACAGGTGGTGACTGTGTCTTTTTTCCATTGGCTGGGGTCTGACCTCACAGTCTTAATTCACTTAGCTGGTATGGAAAGAATTGGTGCACAGGAAATGAAGAAAAGGGAAAGGGATCACTACTCTAGGGCATCATATACCTGGAATACAGTAATGAGTCTTTCTGTGAAGAAAGGTTTGACAGGGAATAGGGAGATGCACATATTTGCATAAAAGTCTTACAAGTTTGGGGCAGTGGAATTCCTTATCCTAAACACAAGTTTGGTGGTATTTGATGGAAAAGATTCATATTTGATGTTTTGTATACTGATTTCCAGGGTCTGGTTAGCCATTGCACATGAGCTAATGTTTTTGTTTTTGTTTTCATTTTCACTTAGCTTACTTTGAAGGAATATATGTAAGTAGATTGTATAAGAACTGATTCTAAGGTGGAGAAATTAAATAAACAAATATAAGGCAAACTAGAAAGTAAAAATCAGTTTAAACAAGCAGAAGAAATAAATCAACTTTGCTCTGGTTGCAGATAACTGAACTCATATTTTTTCCCCTCCAGAGCAGCCCTGGTTATAAAAGGGATGCAATAGTATGAGGGTTGGAGAAGTATAAAAGAGGACATTTGGTAAAGGTGTACCATGCTCACGACCCTAGCACTCTAGAAGCAGAGACAGAGAGGTGGATCACTTCTAAGTTTGAAGCCAGCATGTTCTGCATGGTGGGAGGAAGGAGTATGGTAGGAGGAAAGGAAAAATATTCCCTCTATTTCTCGTTGCTTCTTTGGAGAAATGGTGTGCACCAATTCGAAGACATTCTATAGAGCTTATTTCCCAGGTTTTGGTTGCTTTACTTTATGATGACTTCCATTTGGTTAAGAAGTTAGAACAATTAGGCTATGTCTTAGCTGAAAGAGAGCTCGCCAAGCACGCACAAAACCCTGGGTTTGATCATCAGTCTGCACGAAACAGGTGTGATGGTGATGGTGCAGGGACTGTAAAGGAAAAAAGGAAGAAAATATTTTTCTGTCAGTGAGTCAAGCATGGTTACAAAGTGAGACTATCTCAAAAACACCACTTTTTCTTCTTTAAAAGCTCGTTACTCCTCATTTTCCATTTGGCTTTTTTTTTTTAAGGAAAAAGAAAAAAATCCAGATAGATAACAAAAACATCTTCCCTCTGTTTCTCTGAAATGGAAAGAACTTAAGGACAATATGCGAACTTTGTGTTTCCGACCTTTTGGAATTATCTCTGTAAGCGATGGCCTACGGGTTCAGCACTTTGATTTGATTCGGTTGCTCTGTCTCTCGGATAAAATGTCTTCCCTGGAAAAGCGCGATGTGTTTTTAGCAGATGGGTCGGTGGTCTCCAGACTTTTTCTTGGGTCCACTCCAGCCGGACACCAATCCTCGCGTCCACAAGGCCTCTGGTCCGTCCGTCGGGCTGCTTTCCAGCTCTTCAGAGAAAGCAGGTCAAGTCCTCCACCGCCAGCCGCCCTGTGTCCCCTGCGCACAGCCTGAGCTGCCACTCCCTGTTCTGGAGGCCGTGCTCCTGCGGGCTACAGTCTGGGGAACTGGGCCGCCATCGTGCGACTCCTCCCGCAGCGCTGCGTGGAAAGCTGCCCCGGCCTGCTCGAGTCGCGAAGTGCCAGCCGGTCCACGCGTTGCGGGCTTCGGGGTGCACACCGAGCTGCGGAGCAGCGTGGCTGCGGCCGCAAACCCGAGCCAGGTGACCTGCGCGGCCTGCGGGCAGCAGGCACCAGACATTCCCCCTCCAGGCTGCAGGCCCTGCAGTCTAGGAATTCCTCAAGAGCGTGTGCTGGACCTGGGATGTGCAGCCCGCAGAACTCGGGGAGCTGGCGCGACCCGGAAGCACGACTGCTCTGCCCAAGTGCCGGAAGTGTAACTGGTGGCTGGGGTGCCGCGTTAGGGAGTGAAGGCCTTCCTGATACCACGCCCATAACAGCCTCGCAGTGTCAAAGTGCCGTATCCCCAGAAACCTGGAGGCTTGAGGTCCAAGGGACTTGTCACTTCATGGAATGGGTCTCCAATTTCTCCTAGGAGCCTGTACGTAGAGGGGTGTGTGTGTGTGTGTGTGTGTGTGTGTGTGTGTGTGTGTGTGTGTGTGTGTGTGTGTGTGTGTGATGGTTCCTGTGAACCAGTTTGGTACCTAGGGGCACAGTAAGTTGTAAGTTGTGTGGTTTAGGTCTTAAAGAAATCCTGGACAAAAGGCTAACTGTGGTGCCTAATTAACATGTCAAAGCAGCCACAGGCTACCAGGTTCTCTCAGCTTTGCCTTGCCTGCTGCAGAGTCCTGGCTCCTCCGCACCCCTTACCTTAGACCAATAGGTTTGCTTTTCTTCCCCCAGCCTCTGATTCCTATGTAACTTAGCCATTTTGGCTGCGTACTGTCTTGGCTCTGCTTTCGGCGCTCTTGGGTCTCGGCTCTCCCCCTGGTCCCTTTGCCCCACCCCACCCCATGTCTGGTCTATTCTGCTGGTCATGTTCAGTCTGGACTCCCTCAGATGTCTCTGGCTGTTCTCTTTCGTCTCAGCCATACCTGGCGTGATCATGTCCTCATTTTCATTCGGTAACCTTGCTGATTCATTCATTTTCTTTGTGGCTAACACGATTTCCTGCGTTCTCCAAGTTGTCAAGGGATAGTTTGTCTTTTTGAGACTGGGTCATACAAAGCAGAGGACGGCCTGAATTACTGCTCTGCCTGCCTCCAAAATGATGGGATTAAATTCCTGAGCCACTATGAATGGCTATTTCTCATTTAATTTAAAAAACAAAAGCCTGCAATTATATAGAGATTTGCTGGACGTTGAGCCCAGGCACTTTCGTCAGACAACATTGATGTTCTTAGTTGGATTCATATGCATTGTCTCTTTTTGGGGAAGGGCGGGGTTCGAGACAGGTTTTCTCTGTATAACAGCGCTAGTTGTCCCGGGACTACCTCTGTAAACCAGGCTGGCCTGGAATCTGCTACGTAATTGAGAGTGACTTCGCTCCAAATGTTTTTGCCTCCATCTCCCAAGTGACAAGACTATCAGCCTCTGCCACTGCACCCGGATTCTACATACATTTTCATAAAAGATTGTTCTGTTGTAGGTGTTACAATTACCAGTCACTCTTCCATGCAACTGTTCCTTAAAGACAGAGATCATTTTTATCCTATTCAAATTTTCTCAGACCAGCTGCTGCCTGCTAAACATTGAGTTCTATTGCTATTACTCACCCCCAGACCTTATCCTTTCCTTATTTTTGCATACATATACTGAGAAAGAGATGTAGAAATAGATAGGATTCCCAGACGCTAGCTAAAAGTAGAAGGCACAGCTGCATTTATTTAGATGGCAGCTCAGAATCGACTTAGTATTCCAGTTTCCTTTAAAAAGTATTTTATATGTGTGGGTATTTTACCTGCATGATGTCTAGGCACCACTTGCATGTCGGGTGCCAGAAGAGGGCATCGGATAGGATACGGTGGAGCTGAAGTCACAGACATTTGTGAGCTGCTATGGCGGTGCTGGGAATCCAACCCCAGTCCTCTGGAAAAGCAGCCGATGCTCTTAGCCCCTGAGCCCATCTCTCCAGCCCCTAATCCAGTTTCTTAGCTTTAAGGGTATCATGGCCTGAAGGTAGGAATGACATTTTTAGGTAGCAGCTCCTCCGCCATGGCCAGGGCCTCATGCATGTGCTCTAACATTGAGCTACACGCCCACCCCTAAGTAATCATTTAACAACTATCATTCAAGTTTATTTCATTTGGGATATTTCCCTCCACATCCACCTAAACACACATTTTTCCCCCTCTCTGTAGATGAATTGTGGTGTAATTAATTATATTTGAAGAAAAAATGAACTCCCATAATCTTTGATATCTTACACTCATTGGATTTACTAGTGAATTGGCTAATCACATATTTCTTTTTCTTTTTCAAGACCAGTTTTCTTTGGCAGCTTTGGCTGTCCTAGAACTCACTCTGTAGACCAGGCTGCACTGGAACTCAGAGATCCGCCTGCCTCTGCCTCCCAAGTGCTGGGATTAAAGGTGAGTGCCACCACCACCTAGCACATATTTCTTTTTATAATTTCACTGTAATCCTAAAATAGCATAAGTTGATAAGACTTCATTTCAATACCTGAATAATGTATAACTTGGGAAGGCAAACTGCAGAATTAAAAATCATTAGCAAGGAGGGTACAGGATAGCTCAGTGGTAGTGTCTACAGGCACCAGGCAAAGACAAAACAGCTGCTTTCATTGTTGTCTTTTCAAGGCTTTTGAACCGTTAATCCACTAGGGGAAATCCTTAGTCTTTCAAAGTGCTCCCCTGGTCTCTTGCATAAGCAAACACTAGAAGACTCTGTCTTGTTAATATGTAATGCTGATGCATTTTTCCTAAAAGGTTTAGTTGTGCTTGTTTCTTTTATGTAATGACTTTTAAACATGCATTACAAAACATTCACTGGGGCAACATAGTATTTAGAGCACATTTTCCATGGAATGTCCTTCTGCCTCTACCTCACAAGGAGTAGGATTACAGGCTTGCGCCACTTCTGACTTTATTATATAGCTTTCCTGCTGCCACTGTACACAATAGAAATTACTTTTTGAGACAGGGTATTACAATGTAGCCCAGGCTGCACTGGACTGGCAGACTCTTGGCTTCGGCTTTCTGAATGCTGCTGTCCTATTTGAACCAACAGCCAGGAAGAAATTTTACTTTAGATAACTATAATTAGAAAAATATAGCTGTCAGCATACAACAGAAAGTAGACTAGGTATTTTATCTCTATTGCTTTTTGTAAAGGATTCAGTTGTAAGAAAGACCTCTTGCCTCTTATGTTAGCATTAGATTGCAGGGTTTTGGTTTGTTTTCACTGGCCTGAAACTGCCTATGTAGCATAGTTGAACTTCTGCTTCCTCCCAGGGAGTGGTTAGATTAAACATGCCGCTGTGTGCCTTTGACCTGGTTTATGCAGCACGATCGACTGAATCCGGTCCAAAGCTTTCTACCAACCGAGCCACATCCCCAGCCCCCAAACATTGGTTTTGCTATTAGCTTGATTATGTAATTTATGGTTAAGCACTTTGATTTTCCGACTACCGCTTACCCCCATCACTTTAAAAATTATGTTTGTTTTAGGGTCTCATATAGCATGGACTGGGTTGGCCAAGGAAATACTATATAGCCAAGGATGAACTTCTGAACCTCCCGCCTCCACCAAGTGCTGGAATTACAAAGGTGCACACAATACACAGCCCTTTTCTACGGTTCTAAAGCCAACTATTCACTGCTTTCGGCTTGCAAGTAAAAAGTATGGTTTAGAAGGTCGTCTGTTTGCAGCATCAAGGGAGAAAATGCTGGTGGTATTTCTTTATTGACATCCTTCTTCTTTTACTCTAGCATCCTTAATAGTATTCTTTTTTCCTTGACCTACTTTCAAGAGCCTGCATTAGGTGTTGTTTCTTGCAGCTCGCAGCAGTCTTAAACCAGCGGCGAAACAGATGCATTTCAGAAAAGCTTTTGTGCCTTAAGAACCGCCTGGCTACAATATTAACCATTTCGGCCTGTTTGAATTCTCTCCAAACTATACTCTGCTTGTGTTCGCTACTAGGTTTTCTAGAATGAGATCTGCACGTCATTCCGTTCTGACCCAATTGTTTTCTTTGTGGCCTCCAACACCTATAGAGCGTGTTTGCAGGAGGGTGGGCGCAGAGGCCAGGGCAAGCGCGGGCTCGGCACTCTGCCCCGGCCTCCAGCTGTTGTGCAGCCGGTGCACTACGCCCGGGCCGCGGCCGGAGCCGCAGAAGCCTCAGCTCGCCGCAGCCCCGCACCGGCAGCCCGCCCCGCACCCGGCCTTTGTACGTGCGCCCAGGCGTGCCAGCGCACCGGGCACGTGACCCCGCCGAACGTGGCATTGTGTTATCACGTGACCCAGGTGCGTACGCGACGGAGCGGGCTGCGAAGATGGCGGACGATGAGGCCGAGCAGGAGCGCCTAAGCGGTGGCGGCTGCGCGGCGGAGCTGCGGCGCCTGGGCGAGCGGCTGCAGGAGCTGGAGCGGCGGCTGTGCGAGAGCCGGGAGCCCGCCGTGGAGGCGGCCGCCGCGTACTGCCGGCAGCTGTGCCAGGTGAGCCCCTCCCCCTCCGCGGGCCTGAGCGGCCGGAGCGCGGGCGGTCCGCGCCTTTGTGTTGGGCGGCCGGGCTGGGCCGGGTGGCCCCCGGCTCCGTGCACGCTCCCGGGCTGCACCGCGGGCTCCCGGCTGGCCCTCGCGCGGCAGTCCCCGGGCTCGGCCGGTGCGCGCCGTCGCCCGCCCGGCCTTTGTTGTTGGGTTAGGCTCGGACCGTCAGGTCTTTGTTGATGTTCTCGAGCCAATCCCGCCGGACCTGCAAGCTGGGAGTGGCGGCGGTGTCTGCGCCGCGGGCCGTTGCTGCTGGCTGCCGTAGGCGCTGCAAAGGAGCTGTCACCCGTTCCGTAGTCGGCCGTCCCTTGGGGGCGGCTTTTCAGTGTCGGTTTCTCCTTCACGTTCCGGAAGAGTAGGATTTCCGGCCCTCTGCACCCCCACCCCAACCCCACATTTCTTGGGTTCTTTCCTGTTGAGTGTCTTAGTTGACAAGGGATTTGTGCTTGGGTCAGTTTCAGACCTGTCCATTCTCTTCTTGCCCAAGGACATTGCTTTTCAGCAGCGTGTTCTAACTAGGGTTTAGAATGTTAGTACAATTTGCTCGTGACAGAAAATCAGAGCTTGGGTCTACACTTGGACTTCATCACGGCTCCCCAGATAACATGTGGACCTTCAAGGGGCTGCAGTTGCTATGGAGAACATTGATTAAATTGCCCAGTTGAGGAGGAAATAGACCGTTTTCGCTTACGAGTGAACCTA